CACAAGAATTATGCCAGACAACTAAAGTCAAACAAAAACACTGAAACACCACGCAAGGTGAAACTAATTCGTTTTAAGCTAGAAATGTCATAAACTGGGACCTTATGATAGCACAAAGGTGTTTTATTTACAATCTTAATATAGCTCAAATATAAACTTAAAAATGGAAATTTGATGATGTCTTGTCATGATCAAGAGCTATTTAAAATTTTTTGTTCTCAAGCACAAAGCTACACAAAAAAGGCTATTTGTTCTTTGCCTACTGTAGATATCAAAACACGATTTTTAGAGGGTCTAACGATTTACCCCTGAGCCAATGGGGGGCATTTTGATACGAAATATATGTAAATAACTATTAGTTGGATGACGCATACAATTTTACTGTCAGTAATTCATATGTTCTGAGCATAAAGTATTATCCAAGCAGATTAAAACACGTGATTTTGACCTTTCACCTCGGTTTACACTCGTCAAAGTAGCTACTAAATACTAGTTTTAGCTATTTATATTATTGTTGTTGTTTTTTATCATTATCACGAGACATATTTGAAACTATTAATTGAAATAAAAATGTACTCGGAAAAGACAGTTTATCAGTAGAACAGGAACTACTTAAACATACAGCAACGAGCAGAAAGAAGAATTTCTACAAGTAGTTCAAATTTACTAAATTCAAATTAACATTTTTAATGAACCCACAGGCCTAAAATCTGTGCTAAAAATCAAACGTAAACTGCAGGTTTATTTATCACACTCCTCCTAAGTTGTCCATTTCTAATTCTGAATCCGAAATGGGCAAATGAAGAGAAGGGTGAGGAATAAAACATCTGTTGCCTACGTGAGTTTTATCGCAAATTTTAGGTCTCGTGTTTCCTAATTCTTCACCAAGTTTCGGCATTTAAATCGTAACTCTTAATGAATTTCGCTATCATATTTTTAACATTAAAATATCTGTTGTTTTTTTACGTGTTATCAAAGGGAATTTGTAAACCACATTTTATTTCTTTTTTCGAGCATTGATGTACTTTAATTTTCAGAGATTAAACTCACATCGCTGAATAACAGAAGATGAGAATTGTTGATATTAATGTATTAATTGTGGTTACTTTAAGATAAATACTTTAATCAGCAAACCTGTTAGTTTATCATAATTTAGTAAATTAATTAGGAAATAATCCAGTAAAATAAAACTACTTAAGTATATATATATATATATATATATTTAACTAGTGAAAATACACATCTGAAATAAGATATAAGCGCCTTGTGCTCTGTTATTACTTTCATTATTTCCAGAAGTTTGCAGCATCTCACATTTCTTTGTAGTGTAAACAACTGAACAATAAAATGCTGTATTTTTTTTACTAGATGTATAAGTACATAATAATGTTTCAGATAGTCCACAAAATATTATGATATCATGCGACAAATTATTTTGACACTAACGTTTCATCGAGATTCTGCTTGCTGGTGCCATCTAGCGAAGTCTTAAAACAATAATATTGTTCAAATCCAGCATGATATTTTAATTTTAGATTGACGAAAACTACAAACATGTATCTGGTCTTTCTAATGCAATAAGTAATTGGAAATAATTAGCACCACTCACTTTATAGTAAAACAATTATGTTAGGTAGCTGACTTTCTCCTACAATACCGTAATAGGTGAAACAAAAACTTAACGATAAAATTACTACCTATATGCAAAGGTATACAAAGGACTACCTGTGTTCTGCCAACCACAGGTATCGAAACCCGAATTTTAGCGTCGTAAGCCTGTTGACTAACCGCTGAGCCACTGGGAGGAGTAGAATAGTTTTTTTTGGATGTTTGTTTGAATGTTGCTACGTGCAAAGTACTACATTAAACTACCTGTACTGTGCCCATCCCGGGTAACGAAACCAGGTTTTTAGCGTTATAAATCGTCAAACTTATCGCTGAACCACTGATAAAATCTTAGTCTTAACATTATGTCATGACTTAATCAGTTCTCAAGTTGAATCAGTTTAATTATTTTTGTTTTTACTCTGATATACACTTGTACATTCAGCATAGTGCTTACGATAAATCAATTAAATTTTATGCGAACACTATTGTGGACGCTTCTCCGTAAGTAATCCTGTGCCGCCATCTCGTAGCAAAAGACATTACTACTTCGATTCTAATTTAAGAGTTATCTATCTGTCATCGATTACCTTCAGGGGCACGTTAGTTTGAATTGATCCTACTCACCCGTACCTGACTCGACTGATAATTAAAGCTGGTCATTCCTTGTATTAGAACTCTGACCGCTGATCGGAGCCCTATTAAGCCTTAATTCGCCCCTTTTAGAAGCCATTTTCTCCTCGCCTGTGCCTGACTTGGAGAATTCTTTGTTTGTTTTTAAGCACCAAGCTACACAATAGGTGCTTTGCCCACTACGAGTATCGAAACCTGGTTTTTAGTACTATAAGCCTTCAGACCTACTGGGAGCAGCTTGGAGATACAAATTATACGCGAGTACATATTATTCAAGTACATATCTAAATCTTTGAAAATAATTTAAAATTTAAGTACGAATTCTAGAAAAATATTACCTAAAACAAAAGAAAATAAGTAGCTTACAATATGTATATATACAATTATACATTTGGAGATATTTCACTTTAACTATTCTTCATCGGGTTTCGAGCAACGGCTCTTTTTCTGAGTTACACTCAGATGGTCAACTTCTCAGACACAAACTAAGGATTATTTGTTTGTTTGAGTGCTATGTAACAAAATGGGCTATATGTGCTCTGTCCATCGCGGGGAATAGAATCCCGGGGTTTCGCATTGTAAGTCTGTAACCTTACCTCTGACCCACTGGGGGAGATAAGCTAACCATTATTGTATTTATATATTAACTAGCTGGAGTACCTGTTCCCTGGACGGAAGTCATGTAAATTCATGATTAATGAAAGGTCGTCTTAGGAAGGCCCGGCATGGCCAGGTGGTTAAGGCACTCGACTCGCAATCTGAGGATCGCGGGTTCGAATCCCTGTCACACCAAACATGCTCGCCCTTTCAGCCGTGGGAGCGTTATAATGTGACGGTCAATCCCACTATTCGTTGGCAAAAGAGTAGCGGTGGGTGGTGATGACTAGCTGCCTTCCCTCTAGTCTTACACTGCTAAATTAGGGACGGCTAGCGCAGATAGCCCTCGTGTAGCTTTGCGCGAAATTCAAAAAACAAACAAACAAACAATTGTCTTAGGACACGAACAGTTGCTTCCCTTATATATATATAATTGTAAAAAAACAAAAAAAACGCCCATAGAAACTTGAAAACATAAAGTGTGAAACCGCAACTTTGCATGCATCTCCGCATAGACCCAACAAACCTTCATGTTAAATTTGGTAAACATCCATCAACAGGGGGCGAAGTAGTGGTGAAAAATGCAAAACTGAAAATTTGTATATACCCCCCGCATGGACCTCAATACCAATTTTGGTGAAGATCCATCCACACACTGCGAAGTAGTTACATGGAGAATACAACATATAGTACTTTTATATTTATATAGATACTGTATAGATAAAATAGTTATTTATATTGAAAAACAGTTACTAATACAGATCAGCTTATGTAAACATGCTGTGATAGGTAGGATTATACAGAATATAAAATTTTAATAACAAAAATGGTCATTTATTCGATCTTAAAAACATGTTAACTACATGCTCTTAGATACTGAGAATTTAGATGCTACTTTGGCTTAGACCACATAACCATATAACTTGGGGTATTTATCAGGACAGTCACCACATTTAGTTCTACCGATGACTTGCTTCGTAGGTCTCACTTCTATTGCCATCAGCTGGCTTGGCTGTCAGCCTTAAGAGTTTGTACCGCTAAAATCCAAGGTTCGATTCCACGCGATAGACACAACAAAAACCCAACCTACTGACTTCTATTTCTTGACAAATTTTCGATCTTTTGAAATAAATTTTGATTTGTCTTACCTCATCTGTGTATAGTTGTTTTTGTTTTAATAATTATAAATTCAAAGATTCAATCACGAAATTCATTCCGATAATTTCATCTTCCATACCTTCTCTCCTCTAATTATCTGACATCTTGTTTGTTCTACATCCTAAAATTGTGAATATTGTATTATAGATATATCTTTATATCTTTATTTTTATAGAATGTGGCGTCGTCCATATTATTTATCTCAGGATCACTAACTAACATGGATATTATATTCTGTCCTTTAGCGTCGGTTGGCTGATCAAGGTGGCCATTATTTTATTGTTTGTTAGCCACCTAGTGTCATCTTCTGGAAGTCGACACAAACGCCAAGGTAAGTATTTTGTTTGTTTTCATAAATATTTATATGTCCTAATGTAAGAAAATAACGTCGTGATTGATTACAGAAAATTATTATGTTATGTTTATTTGAAACAGATAATATTTTGGGTTTTTCCCCTTTCAAGAAAACTTTCAAAGCATGTTTCACTCAGTAAAAAACACTTCCAACATTAATTTAAGGGACCAGGTACTCTGGTCAACAAACCAAAATATTTAAAACGTCAGTGAAGGTGTTGAGGAAAGAAGGAAGTGTCGCCATCTATTTTTGTCTAAGCGAATATTTATGACTACAACTATCCTATGTGGTAGTATTTCTTCGTTATCCTTTACTAAGATGTGCTAATTTTGAAGGCTTTTAATGTGTCTGTAACCAAAAATTTGAAGCTGAAATCAACTAAACTGTAGTTGACGGTTTTCGGAATATTGATAAGGACATATCTGTCCCTTTAAAACTCTTAATATTATTAAAAACTCCAATAATCAAAATTAGTAGCACAATAAATAAATAAAGATAAATTTTAAAATTTTCTTGCTATTATCTGCGACAACTACTGTTTTTTTTTCTTCCAAAGAAATAAAGAAAACATATTTAGTATTTATAACCTAAACGAATCCTTATGTAATACATAGGCCAAAACGGCCAGGTTAGAGATCACTAAGGTTCAGGCATGGCCATTCCTATTTTAGAGCTGTTGATCAGAGAGAGAGAGGGAAACCATTTAGCTGTACCTACCGCCTACTTGGATAAGGTAGTTAGGTCAACAGATCTAAATATTTAAAACGTGTTAAGCGAAAGGAGAAGAGACGCCATATATTTTCATACAAGCCAATATTTACGACAACAACAAACCTATACTAGATGTACTTCAGCAGGGTCTACGAAAGTGTTTTGTTTCAAAAGTAAGGAAAATCAAAATTAAGAGTAACAAATATTTCTATTTCTTGCTTTTCAAGTTCATATGTTATGCTGTATTGTAGCCTACAGAGTGCATAATTCTTCTCGTGATTCATGGCATGCGCACGTTTTACTGAGTCACGACAGTACAAATTGCAACGTTAAACGTTCCTTATGTGTCGTCATTTTGGTGTCTATTGACTGACTGACTGACAGACAACACGCTACTGTATGTTGTTGTTTTTTTCCAAGCTCTTGTCAAAGTGAAAGGGGGGGGGAGGTTTGAGGGATAAATGCGTTCATGAAATCACTATTTTCTCGTGTTTTACTTTTCGTCATGGACGCCCACAGAAATATTTTAAGGGGGAGGGGGCAAAACATGTATGTAGAGGATGAGCTCTCATAGTGTAAGACAACAGACTAAAAAAATATGTTTCATGTGTGCTTAAACGCAAACACAAATTTACAGTTTGCTCTCCTATTGAGTCCCCCGGTGGGACAGCGGTAAGCCTTTGGATTTATAACGCTAAAATCAGGGGTTCAATTCCCCTTGGTGGATTCAGCAGATAGCTCGATGTGGCTTTTCTATAACAAAACACATACGCGCACACATTCCTATTAAGAATTTTAGTTCATTCACTATTTCAACATTTAATGTAAATTTCCCTCTTCTTCCTACAGAAGCTGGAAGTTTATAACTATTAGCTGATAAATACTGACAGTAAATGGTATATCTTTCATAGTGTTCTGATAAATACTGACAGTAAGTGGTATATCTTTCATAGTGTTCTGATAAATACTGACAGTAAGTGGTATATCTTTCATAGTGTTCTGATAAATACTGACAGTAAGTGGTATATCTTTCATAGTGTTCTGATGAATACTGACAGTAAGTGGTAAATATTTCATAGTGTTTTGATAAATACTGAAAATAAGTGGTATATCTTTATAGTATTCTGATAAATACAGTGTTCTGATAAATACTGACAGTAAGTGGTATATCTTTCACAGTGTTCTGATAAATACTGACAGTAAGTGGTATATCTTTCATAGTATTCTGATAAATACTGAAAATAAGTGGTATATCTTTATAGTGTTCTGATAAATACTGACAGTAAGTGGTATATCTTTCATAGTGTTCGATAAATACTGACAGTAAGTGGTATATCTTTATAGTGTTCTGATAAATACTGACAGTAAGTGGTATATCTTTCATAGTGTTCGATAAATACTGACAGTAAGTGGTATATCTTTCATAGTGCTCTGATAAATACTGAAAATAAGTGGTATATCTTTCACAGTGTTCTGATAAATACTGACAGTAAGTGGTATATCTTTCATAGTGTTCGATAAATACTGACAGTAAGTGGTATATCTTTCATAGTGCTCTGATAAATACTGAAAATAAGTGGTATACCTTTATAGTGTTCTGATTAATACTGACAGCAAGTGGTATATCTTTCACAGTGTTCTGATAAATACTGACAGTAAGTGGTATATCTTTCATAGTGTTCTGATAAATACTGAAAATAAGTGGTATATCTTTATAGTGTTCTGATAAATAGTGACAGTAAGTGGTACATCTTTCATAGTGTTCTGATAGATACTGAAAGTAAGTGTTTCATTGCTAGATCTGCTGAAACAAAATCAGAGTTAACCCCGGATTCAAGTGTTATATCTTACCTCTGTCCCACCGAGGCAATTAAAGAAAAATTAGTCTCTTGATAAAAGAATACTTATAGTTATAAACAAAGTTTATTTTGATTAACATATTGAAAAAACAAGTAATTGTTTTACTTAATTAACTGGTTCGATGTGCATACTTAATCGTGTTTTTCATTATTGGTTTACTAAAACATACTTTTCAACGAAGAATTATGGCAAACCTAAATATCATATACATTGTTTCTGTATGCGCGTTTAATAAAAATTATTTTACGCGTGTTAGGCATATGCATGTAATGAATATTCTATATGATATACATGTATTCATGAGCTACTATTTAGAATGATAAGGGATTTATGATGTGCGAATAATACATTTCTTACATCTTTTAAGGAGGCATCATTTTTTTACCTTTTCGTTTTTCTGTTCATCGGATAACGTACGAACGTATTTTCTTCTGCCAACAGCGGATTTCACTAACGCTAACAACCTGCTACAGTCAACGTTAGCAACTGTCAACAAATGTCGAACCCCCGATTTACGCGAAATACTGACAGTACCACCCAAAGATACAAAAACATTACATACCTTTAACATAAATTCCTAAACGGCTTCCGTTATGTAAAAATGTGCAGTCAGCTTTTTCTTAAAAAAAGAGTATTTTATCGGGTAATAAGTAAAAGATACAACAGAAGTTTGTACTCTAAAATCAAGGGTTACTAACCTTTTAATTCTTTGCTGCTTATTCAGTCGTAGTCTAATTTCTGAGAATGAATAACTGTTAATTCGTGAAAAAATATTATTATTATTATTTAAAATGTTCACAATTTCTTTCGACAACGGTTTGTTTGAACACGTACGATACTGTATAGGTATATAATACTACACATTCAGTCAATACCTGCAATAACAGATTTGTCAAGTTTTTGAAGCCTTTTTAGATGATTTACCTTTTTTAGAGGGCAGCATATTCCTGGCATAAAGAAGTTTTTGAAGCAAACGGACTGTCGAAGTTTGGCCAAATTAAAAATCAAATAGGTGCAGTTTTTTATGTCGCCACAAACTCCAGGAAGACCGTCTACTCGAGGGTTGTCTGCGCACAGCCGATCCTAATTTTGAACAGGTAGATCAAGAAGAAAGTAGCTGGTTAACAGATCCATCGACAACTCATGGGCTACTCTTGTATGACCGACCAGTAGGATTCGACCGTCACTCTTTGTAGCGCACCCACCACTTTAAAAAAATGAATAAATAATTCGCGAATTTTTTTTTTAATTTATGAGATTAATCGATTAGAGTAGACCGCGATTTAACTGTGAATGATGTTGACTTGCTGCCTTCCCTCTAATCTGTCACTTCAAAATTAGGGGCTTGGCATGGCCAGGTGGTTAGGGCGCTTGACTCGTAATCTGAGGGTCGCGGGTTCGAATCCCCGTCCCACCAAAAATTCTGGCCCTTTCAGCCGTGGGGGCGTTATAATGTGACGGTCAATGCCATTATTCGTTGGTAAAAGAATAG